CTCTCTCTCTCTCTCTCTCTCTCTATATATATATATATATATATATATATATATATATATATATATTATAATAATAATAATAATAATAATAATAATAATAATAATAAGGTAAGTTTTTACAATTCCAGCATAAGAAGGATATCTGGTTACCATCAAAACAAGAATTGTTTTTATCACTGTAACTCATACAAGAAGCCAGTACCACCGAACATAAGAGAAAAAAGAACTTCATAGAACCAACTATCCTAATCGATGGCTGACAAGGAAAAAAAAAAAGCAAATGCTGAATAATATAAGTAAAATAATTCTGTGAACCAATTGACACAGTATTGTCTCAGTATATGCAATTGATTATATATATATACCTTGGATGACAAATCCAGCGATTTAAGATACAACTCGTTTCCAGGATCCTACAAGAATTTGAAATCTTAATGCACCAAAACAAGTAGAAATGACTGGATTGGACTATTTGTTTGTGCAAGGGTTACCAACTCCAGAGCCTGTTGGAAACATTGAGTTGCCTTGTCAAAATAACCCATAGCTGTCTCGCGATCCTGTGTGAAGAATGCATGAGAAGTATGGGCGTTTCCCAAGCACCACAGAGTGTCATGCTTGCTCGGATTCACCTCTAAGGCTGCCTCCAGTTTTGATATAGCATCTGCAAAGCACTCAAATTCGTGAAGCCGAGATTTCTCTTCCCCCGAATCAAGTTCGCAGAAAGCTACTTTCTTATCGCATCTGTCAGGACGAATCTGTTCTAACATCAATATTACGAACCTTTTACCATCTTTATGGAGTCGTCACCGCTCTGAAACGAGGACAGCTCAAGAAGCGCTCCTCCCCACCTCGTGAGATTCTACGAGAACATAAACGTGATTCCATTACCAAGAACTCCGCAAGGAACAGTCAGGAACACACAAGAAATTTGGTCTCGGAAGCACCAAATAAGTCGAGACAGCAAATGACGCCATCAAAACCGATCATTCCAAGCGCCGAAAGTCCCAAACACACGGGCAAGAAGAAACGGAAAGGAAGGAAAGGCGTCGCGACTCACATCGGCATCGAGGGGGTTACTGGCATAGGCCGCCTCCGCGGTCTTGCGGGCGTGCTCGAAGAAGAGGAGCCGATCGAAATCGTTCTGCTGCAAATCCATGGGTGGCAAACGACCGAGAGGAGCAAAGGCCGACGCAAAAGATCACCTGAGCCGCCCCCTCGCGTGGGCGCTGCGCTCAAGAGGGGATTAGGGTTTATCGAAAGAGCGGCGAGAGGTCAGAGGTTTAGCAAGTTTCCAGTTACAATTTCAGTGGGGCCGATCGTGACGCCACGATGACGGCGGCCCCAATCGGTTGGGTCGGTTTATGAACGGTTATTTTTCCAAAAAATAAAGATATTAAATTATCGATATAAATTCGAAAAGAAAGAGTTGACGACGAAATCTCGGCCGTCAAAATCATCTCCCCGATTCTATGGTGACGACACGTACGAGCTTTACTCGCAGTGGTGTTTACATCTCTACTAATCCGTTTGAAGCTAATCACATTACATCTCTACTAATCACATTAGCTAAGACAAGAATGAATATATTTAAGATTTTAAAATTTGTTTATAGCAGTGAGAGTTTGGCAAATGATTTGGTGATTATGGTTTTTAGCCTCCTTTAGGATAAGACACCATACATTGTACTGTTCACACATATAGAAGAACATAGATACAATAATAATAATAATAAGATCAATGCATATCCTAACATTAACATCGATCATCAAAAGGACGAGATGCAAACAGAGTAAAAGCCTCATTTCATCCGTCTTCACGTGAACTTTCTTCCAAGTTCTATGAGGCCGAAGACACTCGTTCGTACGTCAGTAGATCAAATTTGTTCTCGTTAGAGACGTCGATGACTATGAACCGATGCTGCAAAATCTCCCTTTGTAGGATGAGAAGAAACCTGAAGGAGTTGGGGGGGGGGGGGGGGGCAAAGGGACGACTGCATTACAAATCGCAAGGCTTTTGAATGAGACCTGCTATGCTTCTTCTTACCCTCCTCTCAACAGCAAGATGTGCAACAAGAAAAGCATGAGAACCATCTGGATTCTCCTGCAGCCGGAGCTTCTTTTGGTGTTCCGGTCTGCAGCGGGAGCTGCTCTGCCTTCTCTGGCTGCAGTGGGTGTCCAGGTTCCCCCTTGAACGAACCACTTTTCCTTTCACCTGTCAATCTGTCTCAACATTCTTTAGTTTGATCACCCAAATCTAATTCCAATTTCACAGCTTCATGTGCAGCGTAGTGTCAAGAAGGACGAATTGAAGTGCATGAGAAGAGATCGTACATTGGAAACGCAAAGGATTCAGCTGAGCTGCGAGATAAGCTGGGGGGCAATGCTGCTTGCTCAGCTGGACGCCGCTCCTTGTGAGCATGTTCCTCGGCGTTCGCTGCCTCCGCTGCGGCCTGTAGCGCACCACTTTCCGCGTGGACCGAGTAGGATGCCATCGGACTGACGACATTCTCCTTGGAGAAGCTGGAGTTCCCTACATGGATGCTGAACAACGACTCGTTGGAGGCCACACTCCACTCCATCGGAGTCGTTGACTTGGATCTTTCGAAGATGGAGGAGGGAATTCGATTCGGGTCGGCCGGATCTGACTTCTCCATTACCTGAACCGGAGGAGACTGCCTCGGTTCGAGAATGTCGGATTGAGGTAAACTGATGTCAGTAGGATTTACAGAATCATTTGCACTTGTAGCTGCACCAGCTTGAGTTGCTTGTCCTCGAGGAATGTCTCCATGTTCAGGCAGTGGGGTTGACATGGTGAATTCAGCTTGGTCCGACCGGAAGAACTCCTCCTCCTCCGATGACTCATCAGAAGAGGTGGAAGATGAGCAAGATGTTTCTTTCCTAGTGTAGACTGCGCGTGTTAATCATCCTCGGCGACGGTGATGTCGATGCGCGGTTCCTCAGTCGAATGTTCTTTTGCTTCGCCCTCCGACCTTCTATTTCTATGGCACACCACACTACTCTCTCTGTACAAGACATGAAATAAGAATAAGATGAGGTCAATTAACAGATTCAATAGCAGAAATAATGTGCAATAAATAAGAAGATAAATCTCCAATGTGTTTGTTCCAATGCCATTAAGAATCATATCATGCTTGACTAATATAAATACAGTATGTTTAGAACATACGTTGACAACACCAAAAAGAGTTGGTGAATGAGCAAAGGAGATTTATTTGTCTTCGACATAATCTTGGAGTGCAAAAGGGATAAATCGAAAACAATGGACTTCTTCAATCCTCGAATCATTATCATGAAATATTGCTCAAGAACAATCCTGAAATAATTGATTGGAGAATCCAAGACTTGAGGATCCACAACAATCTTAGAATCGATCTCTGTCGAATTAGCTAGCTGCTCAGGAAACAACAACAACAACATCTCTATCGACCCTCATCACCTTTCAAACAAATCGTTAGGAAACATAAGCATGCAAACGCAAGTTTCTTCATCATGCAAAATAAGATCAGATATTATCAAAGGTGCTGCGAATCCATGAAGAAGAGAGAGAAAGAGAGAAAGAGAGAGAGAGAGGGAGAGGTAAACTGCCATTGTACGAACCTTCAGATTTAGGATCAGAATCAGGAGTTGGACGGTAAAAATCACAGCTTTTTCGCTACTTCTCATTCTTCGTTCGACGACAGGGAACGAAATGGGAGAGGGGGGGAGCGATAGAGGGGAGGGGGAGGCCGAGCGATGCTTCCGGTTCTGCTCTTGGGGATCGGATCCAAGATCACTCTGTAGATACATATCTTACAAAATAGTTGGTTGATCTGATCTCATGCTCGTCTGTCGATCTCCAACCGTCGGCTGCGGTAGCGGGTCGACCGTAGGCGAGCGTCGTGTAGCAGATCCGCTGCGGGGCCCACGTCAGCGGGAGACCCGTGGGACCCGGACCTCCACTAGAGAATTTTAAAGGTCGCAATAAACCACACGATGAGAATATATATATATATATATATATATATTCCTTATTTGATCAAATAAAATCAATTTTATTTGATTTATGAAAATTTTCACTAGTTTCATATCTAACACATTCCTGATCCAATAATAATGAACATCAATATGTTTGATTTTAGTATAATATATAGAATTCTTACTGAGATAAAAAATATATCACAATGGATGATAATATCTCTGTCTTGCTTCAACTCTAACCTGAAATGACTCTTGAATGATGTTTCAATCATTAACATAATCTTTCTTGTAGTATGTTATGATTCAGAATCAAGAGTTGGTTGTTCTTGAAATTTAGATTTATGATCCGGACTGACAGTGATACAATTTTATATAATTTCTTCACTTCAAACATGCAACAAAATCATGACTAGTTGGAATGAATACAATCTTGACAACTAAAATCTCTTTTTCCTTTGTCAACTTCGCAGTTGACTTGGTTGCATTTCATTGGTCAATCCAAGTATCTACTTGTGCTTCATAAAAAGATTTTGAATCTTTGGGAACAGTAAACATTGTATATTCACTAGCAAAGTAATTGATGTAAGGTTGATCTATCTTGGTAGTTCAGCAACCAACTGTAGTTGCTCTTGAGGCAGCATCTATTCTTGCTAATTACCAACCTCCAAGAGAAGAATTTTGACACCTATTCTTGAGGTTCTTGGACATTCCCCCCCCCTTTCATCATGAGTACTTTGTTGTGAAGAGGTACCTTTGATCATTGTAATAAGAGAATCCTCTGCAAGAACTTGGGAGCCATTTCTCATTCATGAGATCAAGCAACCTGCAGACTGTACCAGAGATCATCCATTATAACATCATCTTAGCTTCAGTGTGAGTAGATAACCACTTCTTCCCTTTTTGCAATCATAACTTTCCAGCATTCATTCACAAAATAATTTTTTAAGCCTTCATTATCTGATCTATCAGCAGAGATCAAGTTGAAATAAGAGATTCAGAATGTGTCACATTCTTGAGAGCAATTTATATGTCTGAGACAAACTTTAGCAAAATGCCACATTGCCACTAACTAAGCCAATAAAAGAACTCCATGCAAAAACAGCCAAACAATCTGTCTGAACCAATGACGACCAAATTGTTATTACAGCTCTACTTTTCTAAAAAAAAAAAAGTCTTCTACTACTCAAAACATTCACAAGCAGCAAAGCATCACCTTCCGGCAAAAGCCTTCTCGTATTACTCCTATGAACCTCCCCTTGAACCCTCTAAATATAGCAAGGCTTATGTAAACCCTTTCTGACATGTAAAACAGTATCGAATTTCCTGCATCTGATTCTGGCGTTGCCTGGAAGATCAATTCGCATAGTAAATTATACAAGAAAAAAATATATCCTTCATTTATCCGATTGCTTGTTGTCTACATATGGGGCACTATCTGAAAGTGCTTCAGTTTATTCAACTGCTCTTGATCACTTTAATACAACCGGTAAGAAAACCATTCTGATGTTACAGCAAGGGAGAAAAAATTGTTCACTCATCTTGGAAGAGCTCAGTTGGAATCTATATCATAAGCTTATCATCACGTATTGCAAATTACGGACCAATATATGTACACATGTAATCAATGTATACTTCGGCCCATCAAGTGCTGAGAATTTTTAATTCTGCCAGCCAGTGTAGACTGTCATCGTTTTTTACTCCACCAGTCCGGGATTTTTAATCTCCTGTTCCGATGTACTGCAAGATTGGCTGCGGGAAGTTTATGCCGGATTTGCCGCCATATCATGTTCACAGCATCTTCCTCTCTAGTTGGGTATTGGAACTCATAGTGGTGAGAGATATTCTTCAGCCTCCTCCACATTAATATCCACCTCTCTTTCTGGATCTGCCGGAGCTGACCCACCATGTAGCCAGGCCGAAGGGCTTCTTCCGCAGAGAAGAAAAGGGAGAATTCACTGTAGTCAATCTCATCCTCGAAGGGCAGCTCAATCCGGTCACTCACAATTACAGGGACACAGTGACTTACGATGGCATCAAACAGACGGCATGACGAAGGAGTGTCCCCAGCAGGGTGCAGACAAAACTTGGATGACCGCATGCCTTGCGAGGACTGGTAAATCAGAAGCAAGAGAAGTTAAATATATTTATTGGGAATAAACACATAAGGGACTTCAGAAATCCATCAAACTACAAAAACAATGATCATAGATATATTTTTGCTAGGAAAAGCATATAAGGTGAACAAGATATGCTACCAACAGTTTTTCACATGAGAACCAAATAAAAGTTCTAATAAAAGTGCAAACATGCCATGAATACAAACTACAGCTTAATCTTAGTAACAGGATATGGGCAGAGATAAAAATCTAACAAGTATTTACAATAAGAAAGGACCAAATCATTTTGTCTATAATATATACTTCATACACAAATCAGAATTACACTGTAACAGAATAAATACCCTCATACATCAGGAGCTTACCAGCCTAACTAGATTAAGGACTAACAACTAAGGTGAATTAACAGTCCAAATGTAGTTACCAAAGAAGATATAACAAAGTCTGCAGCTTACTGCTTTTATGCCTTCGCCAGTGGCAAAGCTATCTTCATACAGCACATCATCATATTCTTTCAAAATCTTTGCTAGTTTGGAACGAACAATTCCTTCCTGTACAAATTGCAAGAAAATTTAATGATAAACAAACATAAAGGGCTAAAGAACCAACTTAGTCAGTAGAGGCACACTGAAACTGATGCAATCTGAAAATAATAATAAGACTTACATCCTTCCTAACTGTTCTTCCTCGAAAGAAAAGTAGAGTAGGACGGGTTTCAAATGGATCAGGAGGATCATCTTCCAGATAAGAATCCACGACATGCACATAAGGTCCAACAACATCTTTCCCAAGGAAAGCTAAATTCCTGGGATATCGCCCAAAATCTGCCACCACAAGAATGGATGCATTCACCTGATCCCGCAGAAATCTGAAAGCATTTGGGTGATGCATGGGGATTACATGGTCACGACCCGCAGAGCGTTCCCAATATTTGGATTTCCTTAAAATATCCAGGAGGTCAATCTGCATACAAAAAGCATATAGGAGATTACAAGAATTTCTTTTCCAAGGAATAGTACTATGATAATGATAGAAAATCAAGCAGTATATGGAATTGATATAGGCTTCTATCTTCTTTTCCAATAACACTAATATCATCTATATGAAAACTTAGGATGAAGATATCACCTCATCTGGATCAAAGAATTATGAATGAAAAACAAGTCATAAGCAATTAAGCTTTTGTTTGTACCTGCCGGCTAAGGAAATTCTGATTCATAAAGAATATTGAAAAGAGAATTCAACACATCAAAATAATAGCATATTAATTACCTAACATTTTCTACCTTCTCATTAGCATTGCTGTGTATGAGGCATACTGCAGAAAACAGGTAAAAAGGTCAAATCTCAAAATTACACAGCTGACTTAAATATTGTTTAAACATTCATCAATTAGACTACTGAGCTCAGGTTCCATAAGATAAAACAAGGCTCAATGCTTCTGTTTTTCAAAATATCATCACTAATGTTAAGATCATGCAAGTTCTCAAAGACAAATTTGACTTCACCCATCAAAATGTATCAGATACAGTTTCTTCAAATTAAGGCACAGATAGACTTTGGGTCCTAACCACATATTCTGAACAATAAGCCTATAATGGAAAAGTTCAAGGGCATCCATAAGTGCTTAGTTTGCAACAGGCATCTTAAAGGTGTGTTGAGTCTTTTGAAACGATAAGGCTTGAAGAAAATGTTCAAACTATCAAAATGATAAAGCTTGAAGCTCTGCAAGGAGCTTTCTACATGCTTTGTAGTTCCTAGCATTGCCATAGTCACATACAACACAAAACCAGATGTCTCAATACTACAACTTAGTTCCAAATCACATTTTATCCTAAATATTAATTCTATGATTTAACTTTTACAGTCGTGTAATCATATTACACTAGATAAACTTATCCTCAATTTACACTAATGGTATTATCCAATGGCCCAAAAAAATTTCAGCAACTAAACGTCTAAACCAAACACAAAACCTTGCTTAGGACAATGTAAACCTAAACCCAAAAATGCCAGTAGAAATTAGCAGCATAGGAACCAATTCCAGTTCCAAATTACTGTGACCAACAAACTGTCACTAGAAGGAACTCCTTTGGGATTGAAGGCTAGAGCTAAACACTTTGGTAATTTCCAATCTCATTAACGAAACCTCCTGATGTAAAAGGTAGGACTTGAGTAAATCACAAATCTAACAGACTATTCTTGGAAGGGTTTTAACTAAGGTTTTAAATCTCAGTCTGTCACTGTTTCTATAATCCACTAAATCAGTATGGTACCAGTGTCTGAGGCAGCATAACATAGAATGCCAGTAAAATAAGAAATAAGAAACTGATACCGACAAGTATCAGACTATATGATCCGCAACTGGCCCTTTATTCGAATGATAAAATACCAGTCCATCGGAAACCCATATTTGAAACGTTGGTTCTAACATTATTAAAATTCCAAGCTTCATTTAAATTCCGCAAGTGTCAAGTGTCCTGTTCTTAACGTTCAGAACTTTAGTAGGTTCCTTGAGAATCAAGTAACGTGAAGACGAAGATTCTAATTGGAAAAGAAAAGGAAGGCTAATATAAAATAAATTTAAGTCGGTTCCCGATAGATACTCGTTTGTACTTTACCCAACTATCAAAGATTGAACAAAAATAACGTAACAACCACTAGGAGTCCGATGAATCTCATGCAAAATTGGAAGACACAAAAAACCGAAGCTTTACCTGCAGCTGGCGATCAATCTCAGTATCCGGATCAGTCATGTTATGCCCATGGGTATTGAAACTAAGCGACGAGAAGAAGGGCACGAAGAAGACGTCCGCCTCCTCCCCATCAAGAACCCTAACCGCCTCGGCCCCCTCCCCGCTCCCGCCAGGCATTAGCGATACCATCATCCAGTACTCCACGCTGTGCTGCTTCTTGAGCCCGGAGGTCTTGGGCCACGGCGGGAACCCGCCGACTCCCTCCGCCGCAGGCACCTCCCGATGAGCGCCGCGACCGAGCATCCCGAGGTTGAAGCGGCGCGGCAGGTCGTACATGAAGACCCTAAGAGGAGGCGGCCGGGCCCCGCCTCCGATGTCGGAGCAGCGGGGACGGAGGGAGGCAGAGGATGGGAGGGAAAAGGAGGAGAAGGGAGATCGGAGGTCGGAGGAAAAGAAGACGGAGAAGGAGACGAGAAGGAAGAGGAGTGCGGCGACGGAGGCGATGGCTTTGGTGTTCGCCATGGGAGATCCCCTCGCTCGAGGTCCGTGGATGGGCGAATTGGGGGAGCTGCATTAACGTGAGCATGTGGCATGATTATAGCGTTGGACGGGACACGATGTCCAAATCGCTTGCTTGTTGTCATTGCACGAGTGTTTTTGTTGCCGGAAGCAAAATAACTGCAACAAATCGCCAAGAAAACAAAAGTAAATTGCCAAGACTGTCTGTCTGAGAGGAGACACGCTGATGGGTAAGTGTTCAACGGTCGATAATTTCGAATAATTCACAATAATTTTATTTACGGATCATTTTGCCGCCTACTTACTAAAATCGTATTTATTATAAGTTATTTTTAAAATAATTTTAGATTCAGCAAATAAATCATTTCTTTTTGTGCTTAGAAACCCTACTTACGATATTTAATAAGGGTTTAGGACTTGAAATCTCAATTAATAATATATATATATATATATATATATATATATATATATATCTCACTTTTATATTTTTCAAAAAGGATTCCTTCTTTTCTGGAAAAATAAAATACCTTTAAGAAAGTGATTTTTCATCAAAATCCAATTTGGGTTAGAGCAGTGGAGTATTACACAATATTTTTTAATAGAATTATTTTGGTTTATAGTATTTTTTTATCGTTGAACATTATAATTAGATAATGTCTCATAATTTTTTATAAATTTAAATTAATTAAGGCTAGGTTATTCCCTTTTTCAGTAGGATTATAAAGTTTTTATTTCAGTAATTAAAATCACTATAACCCTATATAAAAACATTATAACATGTTCAATTGAAACAAAAAAAACACTATAATAGTATTTAAAAAACATTGTAATCAGTTTGGTTTAACATCAAACCAATTTGATTGATTCGATCTAGCTGGGCTTCGGTGGAAAACTCAAAACATATTAATATAAATTTCATATGTTTATATTTTTAAACGGTATATGAGAAAAAAATATATCAAAATATAATATTTTGAATTATTAGATCATCATAAAATAAACTAAAACTTATAAAAAAAATAACCCAATTATAAGACATTTAAACACTAATTCGATTAACGTTAGAAAATGATGTTTAAGAGGATCTAACAGAGTATTACAAGATGATTTAATAAAAGCCCGAGTTGACCACATATCAGTAGCTGTCAAAAGAGTAAAGAAGTGCTCCATTCGAGGAAACATTGCCATCAACCACTCAGCTAGATACATCAATGTTATGAGACGTTCAAATTATGTTGGCAGATCAAGAATCAAGGAAATGAAGACAATTTTGTGAAACTTTGATAACCTCATACAAGCTAGATTATAACTCTGTAAACAAAAACCAGCCACCCAGAACTCCAAATTATGAGAAGTTCAAATTATGTTGGCAGATCAAGAATCATGGAAATGAAGACAATTTTGTAAAACTTTGATAACCTCATACAAGCTAGATTAGAACTCTGTAAACAAAAACCAGCCACCCAGAACTCCAAATTTTAGGCAAGCTTTGTTAGCTAGCTAGACTTCCATGTAATATATGTCAGAAGCCCAATCAAACATGCTCTCGATACACTATCATCACAGAATACTTAACCTTTGGTGTGCTGGAAATGTCAACACTGCTTCACAGTCCAACAAAACAATGCACGGTTTATTCATAAACATCCAATGCATTAAGCACCACCTCAGCTTGCTTCGATATTCTTACAGACAGGGAGACAATATAACGATGAACTGGCAACGGCATGCAACAAGATTTTCAATTATGATACTTGATCAGGTTTTAAAAAGCAATTATCCACCAGCAGCTGCAATCACAATTAGATTTTTCATCCAGTAAAAGTGGTGTCTGCTTCATTCTGATCAGCTGCTTCAAGGCTGCACAGCTTCGAGAAGCTTCTCATAGACTTGTCTTGCCGATAAGTCCTCAATCTGAAATAAGCTGCAAACTGTTAGAATATGCACCACATGAGCTTTATGACTCAAGTTCTAAGTTTGATGCATGTTTGCACAATTCAACAAAAATTGACTTGCAATTCTTTTATTCAAGTGAGACGTGTGGCATTTTAAATCACAAGTCAAATCGCCTAGAAATGGAAACGACCGCCACCTTTATATCTGATCTACTAATAAATGAGTAGACATCTGACAGCTCCAGTTGCAAGCAACCAAATGGTCCGATTACATGTACTCTGGTATTCCAAAAGGTCTTTGTTATTAGAAATTTTATACAAGATGGTTAATGAGATTCTTCCTGCATATTTAAAGCTCACAGTATGATTCGCTGAAAGTAGCAGCAGACATCAAGAAAGTTATAACTTACAATGAGAAGCTTTGATTTATTGTTCCAACCTCTCTGAAGGGTCATTTGACTCAATCTTAAGCCCAACACCTGTTCAGGAAGCAACTCAGGAATGAATTGTATTTCAAATAACAGAAATCTTTATAAGAAAAGTTAGGCCAATAAGATCATCTGATGATATTTAAGCATTCCAAGGTATACTGCACACGTGTGTTTGTTCGTGTGTGCATGAGAAAATGAAGCATAGAAAAGCCAACCTTGCCCATGAATTCTAACAGCTCACTATTAGCTTCTCCTCTGGCAGCTGGAGCAGCTACAGTAACTCGAACATCATCAGCATTAACTCCTGATGAAAAATATTAGTAGTTCAACATGAGTTAGGACTTACTCTGAAAGTTATGGAACATGTTCAATGAGGACAAGATTTTGGATATGGAAAGCGTTTTGGTAATCCAATGCAAGGGCAGGTTCTAAATATATAGCATAAAGAAGCAAAAGCAGAAAATCAGAGTACAGTATACAAATACATGTGGGTTCAAGTCCTGACACATTATCCCCCTCTGACAGCCAGTAACCATGTTATATTCTACATCATCCAACTGCAGTCAGGATATCATGGATAAGAAGCAACCCTGGACAGTTTACTAGACACCAGTGGCAAAGATTTAAATCTCAATCTGATATTGGTTCTATGAATCTAAGGATCAGCAGAGTAATGGTACACCAGGTGGTATACCAACCAATAATGCCCCATATCACAAACAATCAATAAAAAAAGAGCAGTTGGTATGCATGGTATTGACTGGAATTTGAATCCAATAGAGAAGAAAGACTTAGTATTCTTGGCAAGATGCATTTCTTCTTTCAATTCTTTTAAAATTTAATGTCAACATTTTTAATAATCATTGAGTTGTACGACTTCTTTTCCCTCTGTTTATCGAAAGCCCTATGTGGAGGTTGAAAATATACCAGCAAGATATTAAGCCACTAGAAGAAATTATACTGTTGTGACCATAGGGAAGAGGATAATGGAAAAGGGTTCAATGAATGTAGACATTAAGGAAGCAGATGATGGAATCAAACCTTAATACTATTATAGATCTTATGGTTTCAAAATAGCTTACCTTTAAACCCCTCAGTTTTGGGCATCCCATCAATGAAAAAATGGAATTTGGTACTCCAGATCATAGGGTATACCTGTTTAATGGACTGAAAATACCTCAAATTTCAGCAGAAAATTAAAAAACATACTGTCATTACTATGATACCAACAGGTTTGAAGGACCAAGAAGGGGAAAAGAGGTAAAATAGAAGAGGATAGACAAAGATGAAGAGAATTATATAAGGAGGAAGCATCAACTTGATGGAAGTCTAAAAGGTTCTCCACCGACAGATGTGGGGCCTGCCTCAGTGACTTTTACCTGCACAAATAGGTTATTGACACTAAAATATCTCTCAATTTAGTCTAAATTATTGATGCTTGCCCATGACATCCGTATCCCTCTTTAGGCCACAATAAGTTGGTCAAAATTTGTTTCACATGGGTAGTGCTTAAATAGGTGCTCCACATCAAAAGTGCCAAAAGATCATTCTTCTTTTGCTTAAGAGGAATCATCTCTCTAGTTGTGGGACTGCAAATTTGTGACACTAATACAACTCAAAATATGGAAAATAACAGAGATCATGCCCAAGATCAAATAATAGTTAACCTCAATGACAATAAACTATATGCTGCATCAACAACATAGACAAATAAGCAAACAAGATATTTACTTGTTATTGCTGAACGTTGAGCACGGTCTTCTACTTCTATTGCAACTTGAACAAGACCACCCTCCAATTGGGATATGCAAGGGGGAACAGGAGCATCCTGCAATTATTTTGTTTATGTGGAAAAATGCTGTTACAAAAGGATGATGAAAACTAAAACATTGTGTTGCTTCATGCAAATTATTCACAATGATCTCAGAGACAGTAAATTTATCTTTAATAAAAAATGAAACAAGCATGCAATGTCATAACTACCAAAAGGACACTTCTCTGAACACAAAGTAACAATATAGCCTCCAGCAGATGTAAAATCAAACATGACATGAAAGTCAAACCAAATTCGAGTTCTGGATTCACCTAAAGAACTACAGTATAAAGACGTACAGAATGAAAATTGAAAAAGGTGAAAGATTTGCTACAAAGAAACAAAACAGTTTCAAGGTTGTAAAGAAAATTATAATTTTTTGACAGATAAGGAATCAGACTACAGTATTAAAAAGCAAAACCAGGTATGGAAATAAGTATGTTAATTTTGCAAATCAACAGTGTAACACTCACTTAAGAAGACACTACTATATATAAGTTAAGTTCCTAGTTTCTTAGCAGACTTATCACGTACATAAACACTTCAAGATAAAGATGAGCTTAATCTTCGTAAAAAAAAAAAAAGATGAGTTGAATATCCATGCCTAATTCAAGATTATAAACTAGATGGCACAAAATGCAGTAGACAAATTTATTCTGCATATGTGCAGCAAACAAAATAAAAAACAAACCGCATAGGACGAAGAAAAAAACAGAACGTTCAGCAACCAAAAATTCAAATGATTATATCAAGCTGAATTATGCAAATATGGAGCTAAGCATCATAACAAGTAGGTTCAAAATTTAATCAGATCCACCCTCCCAACGAACAGGTTAGTGACAGGTTGGAGAAAATCTTTTAGACCAAAGCACTGCTAGAGTTTGAGAAATTTCAAAAATCATCCAGCAAAGAACTTTTTTTCGTGGCTAGAAGAATATTAATAAAGATTTTTTTCTATCTAGCAGTTTGAACTTTCTTTGGCCTTTGTTTTTTTTTTTCATTTCTTCCATTAATGAATAATTATTTCATGAAAATTTAAATAAAATCTAAAATTAAATTCCAGGAAATAGGCTTGCCTGAATTAAATTAAGCTGAACCAATGTCATACATTAACCAGATTGATAAGTGGACAAATGATTCTGTTATGTTCAGGTTGCCAAATGAACGCACTAGTTTGAATACTTAAGAAAATGATGGTGTTCGACTTATAACAAGTGATATTAGACTCCATAAGGCTGATATTATACAGAATTAGGTCAAAGATTCAAAGGTATACTTTTAGGGGTTTATTCACTATCTGTACAGATCATGTCTTTGAATGAACATAAGCACTCATAATTTCAGATTATGTTATGATCATTATATTAAACAGTTTATATGGGTACTAGATAGAATAAAAAATGACAAGACATTCACAAAATCACCAAAAGATCAAAAAAGTTCATAAGAAGTGCCAAATAAAGCTTGAGATACTCAAAATCAGCAAATCTAGCCCCAAAACATTGTTGGATGTGGTCTGGATTTTCCCAGTGTCAAAATCACCCACATCAGTAGCACATTCTTATATTTTGGAGATTCACAAGGAAGCCCCATCCATTCATAACTCTCAAGGCCTGATTATGTGATGCAGTGAACAGTATATTTCGTCAAAAAACATCATTGTTGTCCAAACAGTAAAATTTGCTGTAGCTGACCAAAATATTGAAGTTCAAGATCAATCGTGGCTGTAACCATCCATTCTAGACCCATCCAAAACTTAAAAACTTGTCATATTGAACAATATTCTAGGATTTCACTAATGGCATCACATTTATATACTCCAATAATATGACATACAGAGCAAGATAGCCAGAGAAATAAAACTGACATATATTGTAAGGACAAAAATAAAAATAAAAGAACCAGTACTAGTGGTAGGAATAAATATGTCATAACAAGGTAACTAAAAACTTGCCTGTGGGTTTGTTTCTGCAGCAACTGAGCTCAGAGCACCGTCAACAATATAAATGAAAGTGGCATGCTCCAAAGTTTCTTCTGAGCGGTAACAGACAAAAAGTTCACAACCAGTACAGCTCATGCGAAATTGCTTTTCTAATTTTCCTTCACCACTGCAATGAAGATCCATATGCTCCATAAGCTCATGATCATCCATATAATAAAAAACCAGAGTTTCAGGTATTGACCAGCAGAAGCAAGTCACAGAAATATTATACTCGCCGAGAGAATAGGAAGCCACCAAAACTTATAACCAAGGGGAAGAGAATAAAAATGAACCCAATCACTACAATGAGAAGCGTTCCATTCTGTAGGGGGATCAAATTTATGAAACATTAACAAAAAATAAAGAATAAGTGGACTGGCATAAGAAGTAAATGATATAGATGCCTCACACTTCGAATTTCAAACTTCAAAGCTATACCATTATTGATACATTTGCAAAAAGCCAAATCTATGCAAGCAATGTTAAGCTTAAAATTTTAATATTCTACTTAAGATATTAATTAGTGTGAAAAGTAAAGTTGATAAATTAAGACTGCAGAAAGCACATACATCATGGGAAAACCAGTAGATAATAGGTCCTCAATCAAAGTTATATATGTATCGTGCAAGACACTTCAGATTTTCATTTAGTATTCATGATATATAAATATACTGTCGTTAGCCCCTTTTGGATACATTCATAGGTCTAACTTTTCTGGTTTCTGTTGACAACTTCATTGTGAAGCTAACCCACTGAAATAGTCTGTACTCCATTAAAGTGGTAGCTTAGTCTAGATTTCTCAATTATAAGCAAGTTTAAGATATGCACACAAAAGTATCATCCCAGTAAAAATACAGACCAGTAAGAACTATGAGATAGAATAATAATTGTTAACAGACACAGAAATGAAAGTACCGTTTTAGAAGAATTTTTCCTGCCTCCTTAACATTGAGCCTAGCAAGATGTTTTGTCTTATCCAGCACGTGTGCTTTGTCAGTCTTGCGCTTTGGCATTTTCTGCAATTGAGTATCTTTATAACAAACACATCAATATAGAAGACTACCAACAATTTGATCTAATGGGAAACTGCAAAAAAAGAAGGGACAATTTTGTATGATATTTTAAGTTTTAACAACAGGTGGATTTGAGAATGGGACAAACAAGAAATTCGACAGCTGAAACCGGTTTTAGATACAGGAAACATGGAACACCTTAGATATACAGATTATAATTTTATACATTCGTGTCAAATTTATTTTCTTTTGACCATTCCAATGTCAAGGGAATTGTAGATGATTGCTTGTTGGTTAAATGACCTTAAACTAATAAAAACACAAAAGTCATGCAATATTCCTACTACTTTAAATGGACTTTTATGTTGTCTAAACTTCTCATTGCTAGTAATTTAGCAATAGATGTATAAAACTCCAGTTAGGTTTAAAGCAAATATGATGCAAAGATAAGTTTTGTGTGCCTCTTTTTTTGACCTTAATATGCTTTGAAGTTACAGTACCTAGGGAGACAGAAACATTTTTTACAGAGCACATGGGCTCTGGACAACAGTCATCTAAGAGTTATTCATAGGTAAATTGGCAACATACTGTAAACAAAGAACTAGTAAAGTCACCACATTAATCAAACAAAAGTGTCAACATGTACCCATCACCCCTTCGGAGAAACAAAGAAGAATGAAATTACTGAGTGATTCTTTAAGTAGACAAAATCTCTCTGAAGAAATTACAAGATTGGAGGATGTGATATGTTGTTCTCTTACTTTTTGACAAAGATAACCAAGCTCCCAACAAACTTTGGATCCATGCCCAATCCCCCAATATAAATTTCTCTAAATATAATAAGCTAAAAATAGTTACAAAACCATATCTATTTTTAGCTTTGGACAAACAAGCTTTTTCTCAAAGTACACATACTTCCAATAAAGCCAAACTAGTGTGCAAATGCACTGGTCTGCCCCTCAAACTCCAAATCATTCAGCACACTCATTTTTACCTCATGCATGCCAAAGTAAAAGTATGTCAAGAGCCCAGCAAGCCGAAGATATCTTGCTTCAAAGGGCCAAGTCAGCCTAAACAAATATGTAAAGTACTTAATCACTTGTAGCATGAAATGGATGTAAAAATGTCTTAGCATGAAATAGGAGACAGCAACGAAAAGTGATAAGAATCCGAAATATGGAATGCTACAAGCATCAAGACATTCAAAAGAATCACTAGCCTTCAAAACCGAGAGCCCATGTTTTCCAATAGAATTTGAAGTTGAACACAAGAAATTGTACATCAAAACATCACGAATCGTCAACAAATTTAATATGTTAGAGAGGAACATAATTATCCACACTCTTAATTTCTTCTTCACCATCCATTTTCGACATCGTTTATCAAGAAAAATAGAACTTGTTTAGGGAACACAATATGCGAAACTCATCCATTTTCCACTTCGTTCAACGAGAATAAGCTCTCTTAGTGGGAGTCATCGATTTAAAAGCAGAACCCAGAATCTTGGAACTAAAATGAGTGGTCGAGGGCGATGAGGATCGGAAACCCTAGGAAAAGAGAGCGAGCGAGGAAGGGAAAGAGCGGACCAGTGATGAGGACGTGGGAACTGCAGTGCTTGCAGTAATAAACGAAGAGATCGGAGTTGGGCCCGTCCGGCGCCGCGTCCTCGCTCGAGTACGTGTGCGTCGTCCGCTTCGGCATTCTTCGTCTTCTCTCTCTCTCTCTCTCTCTCTCTCTCTCTGTGACAAAAGGCAAAGGGAGACGAGCGAGCGGTGGGAGAGGCTTTAAAGGATCGAACCGGGCCGAGGCAATAGAGAACCGGGCCGAGGCATTGACTCTTTAATTTTTTTTATTTCTTTTAATAATATTAAAGACTATTATGATTGAATTGAAAGTGGATCGAATGTTTTTTTTTTATAAATAAGTGGATCGAATGTTTGTATTATAATATTTTTATATATGTCTTTAGGAATTACAGAAAATATGTTTCATATACTAAAAAAATGTTTTCACCTTTCGGACTAGCCAAATAGTCAATTATTACGACGGATAATCTCAAAACAATGATAACTTTTAATAAATTCGGGGTTCTAGTTAGTATTGATGTGAGAGATAATTTTAATACGAAGATGAATGATAGCCAAAATTCGATATTTGCTAATCTTCAAATTATTATATAAAAATAATAAATCCTTAATACGCCTTTTAAGTAAGCAACTATCAATTTTTTATTTGATTTAAATATCCACTCTCTTACTTCTTACATTTGTAAAAATTAATATATATTTACTAGACAATTATGTTAATTTTTTACAAGGTAATCGAAGAAGTTTGACATGCTTCTCTTTCTAACCAAAGTGGATAATTTTGCACTGGTATATTTAATCCTAGTTCAAAAGTTAAAAATAGTTAAAGCAATACTAAACATATGGTCATGTAAGTTTCTCAAGAACAATTCTTCTTTACTTTCCTCTATCAAAGCAAAACTTTATGCTATTCAAAATGATCCTTTGATGAGTCTACCCATCATATCGAGTAGCTTCTAGGGTAAGTTGTAGTGGTTATTGGAAGAAGAAAAAATTATTCTGAGACATCTATGGCTTACTTTGGGTAATTGATAATTCTTATTTTCATGATCAATCAACATAATATAAATGATATTATATCTATCCTTAATTCGGAAGGTTAGTTTATGTATGATGAGAAAATGCATGATAAGACAATTCAAAGTTGTAGTGGTTATTGGAAGAAATATTATCCTTTGCCATGAGATTATGCATAGCTATCAAATTAAAAATGAAGCTCCCAGCATGAGTTTGAAGATAAACTTACACAAAACATATAATCCTTTGGTCACTTACCTAGTTTTTATGGATGATCTATTTATTTTCTCTATATTAATATATCTTCAGCTGCTATACATAATATTCTCACTAAGTTTGTAGAATATTTTGGGCTTTTTGTGTACCTACATAAATCCAATATTTTCTTTGTAGATTGCTCTAATGAGCTAAGCATTCTATTTTAGATCTTTTCAACATGCCCATTGGATTTCTACTTGTTAGATTTTTTAAAGTTCTACTATCCATGATTTTATTGGCTCTATTCTCTTAGATATGTATATCTAAAGCTAGAAGAGTATATCCCTTTCTTATCAATTATTCTCTAAGGCAAAATTATATGTTGGTGTTCTTCTTTCTTATTTCCTAAGATAGTGACGTTTGAATAGGTTATGACTCCGATTTTTTAGAGAAGAGATTCTTTTAATGTCCAAAAGAGAAAAATAGTCTTAGCATTTATAATATTCATACGCTCGATTAGATTTTGTCTAATGTGATATCTTTAGACCATTGCATTGAAGAAAGACTCTATATGGATTAAATAATTTTTTATTTAGATATTGAAAGTAATAATTTATTTGTATATTATATTTACCACTTAGTGCTTATTAGAATTTTAAAAATATCCTCTATAATAGTGCTAGCTAATCTTTTATCTTACGTCTATTGGTGAAGCATCTCATTTATTATTATGTTAGATCTGTAGCACCCAGGGAGTAGTCCATCGCGTGATATATATATATATATATATATATATATATATATATATATATATATATATATATATATATATATATATATATATATATATATGATGCAAATGAATTCTATTGTAAATGAGTCATTATTAATATATTTGTCTTAATATGCAACACATTCAATGTAAATGATTGCAAAGGAAATACAATAGTAGCTATTTCTAATAATTGTATAACTCAAGGATTCATTTTTTTGTCATGAATTATAAGCTATTCATCATGATGTATTAGAGGTGAACGCAAATCCTTCAAACTTATCTAAGTTTAGTCTAATTAAAAGATTGCTATAGAAATTCTGAATACAAAGACTAAAGTATTATGAAAATGTTGGACTCTTTTATCACAAATTATAAGCTATTTTCATGATACAATTTTTTATTTCTTTTATTGGAAGATAACCATATTTTTGTACTAGTTTGTCTAGTCTACCATCCAAGTTACAATGATGGAGATATTAGCTAGGATGTATTTACACAAACATTTTGGTATAGTCTCTAATTAGGTTTTAAGTATAGAGCATCGCCTCACTTATTTTGATAACTTTATTATTTTTTCAATACTTATTTTCATCTTTCAATTTCCTAACGAACATGTCGAAGGATTATCATTTCAAAAATATTTTATAAAGTGATTATAATATTATTTTTTATCTTTTGATTTTGTCTATCAATCCCACTATCACACAAATTCAAATAATTATATATATACATTGCAAAATATTTGATAAAGTCTATTTGTTGTGTTTATATTATTTTAAGTTAACAATAGATGGATAATCAAGAATTTCTAAATGGATACTAAACGAAAAAATGTCAGGAACAACAAATATATTATTTTCATACCTCGGAATGATAGAGATTTAAGAATCCATCAATTTCAAGTCACCACAGGAGAAAATGCCATACCAGAGTGAAATAAATCATCATAATATTTATCTATCACAGACAACCCGAATCTCCAATTTCGGCCGGCCGCAATCCGGTCGAATATGTGGGGTCGAACCAAGTGGGTGGGCGACCGGTTCGACCGCACGCGTGCTATTAAACTTATCCGCGGGTGAGTATACCTCTGATCCCGCCTATAAATAGGGCTTGGCTGAATCGAGATTTAAAGGAGCGGAAGGGAGACAACATAGCACATAGGGCAATGTAAGCTGTTTCAACTGTGATGTTTCTCTTTGTCTTCGGGTTTTTTCTCTGCTGATTTGCTTTCTTGGTTTGTGTTTTCCTCGCGACCAACAGGAGGGCTTCGATCAATCGCCCTCCGACGCCCGATCCCGATGAGGAGCCCGAGAAGGAACTCACCCTTCAGGAGATGATCAATATCAAGGTATCGTGTTATTTACTCCCTATCTCTGATGAATCGCACTATAATCCTTCGAGGAAATAGAGAGGCGAAGGAAAGGATGGAAAAGAAATCGAGGTTTTAGAGTTTTAGGTGGTGCTTTTTGCTCTTCTATCGGGATGACTAGGAGTTATTTGTAGAAATTTGGGCTTATTGATCAGCTGGTTTGGTTTTCTCTAAGTTGATAGAGAGTGGGGAGAAGGAGAAATTGATGGAGCTTCTGAGAGAACGGCTGATCGAGTGTGGATGGAGGGATGAGATGAAAGCCCTCTGCAGGTTTGAACTCTCTTTTCCTTTGTTTGCATATCTGATATGTCGAATTAAGTGTTTCTTCAGAAAACATATAGCTTATAAACAACGGTGACTTCAATACTCTTCGTCTGGTAGGGCATCTTTAGGTACAAATTCCTTAGCATGCTCTGTTTGTTATTGTGTCGACTCTGAGGTGCCTCCGGTCATCTATTGTTACACATGTTTGTTTCATATCCTTTACTTTTGCTCTTTTGTGATGGAAGAAGGTCATACACCTTTTACTTTTCTTATTAGAGTCAAGGATGTAATGTACATAAACGATGTTGGAAGAACAAGAACTATCTGTACCTAGGATTATATATATAAAAAATCATATATTTGAACTAGAAGTTTACTTTAGTTAGTCTACATACAGTCTTGAAGAAAGTCTGTGGACTCACCCTAGTGGTTTATTCCCTTGGTCCCCTTGTCTACCCTAGTATTATCATCTCGCATAGGTGCTTTTATGTCATTCTCATGGGCATTGTTCCTTTGGAGACTTAATTAACGTAACATATAATTGAAGAACAAGAGGGTCTGCAGCAGCATGCTGGGCTTGGTCTGGAGACGAGCATATGGGAAGTGTGCATGAGTTGGAACTATACTTGATAAAATAGTCCTGAAAACCAGTGGTGACATATAAGAATGTAAAACAGTGACTGAGGAGGTCTTTAAGCAAGGGGTCCTTGCTGAATGGTGCAAAGAGAGGATCTTTGTTATCTTCAAGCTTAGACGGGATTAGGTTAAACGACCCAGAAAGGGTTGAACTTTTTTTTATTTACTTCTTTTTTTAGCTATTTCTTGTTACATGTAAGATACAGATGAAAAATATTTAAACATGTATTTCAGATTGATTTCAGTCTTTTTGCAGAAGGTATCGAGCATTCACGTAGTCTTGAATGTATAACATTACTTTGATCCTAATTCCAAAATTTCACATTTTCCTTCATAATGTTCTCACTCACTTTGCGAAAATTATATGGTTAGCTACTTTAAATAGCTAAACGTAAATGTCTGTTTATACACGATCTTCGTTGTCTTTAAATTGATTGTGTAGCCATCGTGAAACATCATATGTTTCTACATGAATGTGTGGGCTTCTATGGCAGAAAATGTTACCTCAACCTGTGTTTTTCCACAAGAGAAATTGAATTTCTTAGCACATAATGAAACATGAGATATTTTTCCAAAATGTTGTGTGTGCTCTGGAAGCTTCTGATTGATCCCTAAATTAACCACACTAGCTGCTTTGTCGACTTGGTGCCAGAGCATGGGCAGATCTTACTAGGTGACATTAGAATGTTCTCTAACCAGTTTAACTATTTTAGATTAGGTTTTTTTCTACATGTGGCCGTCCATGTGCATTGTTATTTCATTATTCTAAAATAGCACTTTCAAGCAGACAGCCAAGGTCCCACATGAGAGCTGTGTGGCCATGTTGGCAGACAAATATTAAATGTGCACAAAAAATGACTAGGAAAAAGACCAACATCACTATCGAAAAAATGAAGTACAATAACTGTAGCATATTTTGTGCTCATAGTATGAGTATATGTCAGACGAGTTTGTGTTTTTAAAGAAAAAAAAAACTTATTTTTATAACCAATGATTAAGTGTGTAAGATTACAATTAGTATATTTATGAACCATATATCTAAATGCTGTAATTTAGGAGCAAAGGAAGAAAGACAGCAACATAGCAGCCACATTTCAGCCATCTGGTCATCATTTTTTGCCATGTGGCCTCTTATCCATTTAGTTCATTTGTTTAACTATATATGGATCTGTCATGCATGGATGCATTTGCAATCTGTATCTATATTTCTCAGAATTTACGTCTACGTCTGTTTGTTATAAATGATACAAAAAGTTGATACTTGTCTTTCTCCAAGGGCATATGCCAGGAAAAAAGGAAGAAATAATGTCACAGTTGATGACCTTGTACATGTAATCACCCCGAAAGGCAGAGGTGAGCATTTCTACGAGGAATTTTTTTGTCATTTAGTTAAAGGTTCTCCATGTACAACCTTGTCTTATCTGGTGGTTATTCTGCAAAAGCTTGTGCACTTCAAGGTCTGAGCCAGGAATGCAATTTCTGCCTTGAGATCTTTTGATCAATGAACCCAAAAAAAATCATGTATCCATTTGTATTATTCTTTTTATTTCATAGGAGAAAATTAATTTTAAGTTAGCTTTTGTTACTTAGCAGACAACAAATTTGTTTTTGTTAGACTGTCATGCATTCATAAATTAATGAAAAGCCAATTTGCTGATTGATTGTGGAGTTTGAAATGGGGAAATCATCCTTCATTATTAAGTCTTCGGTTTGTCTAGTTGCTTTTTATGGATTGTTATATCCTGTAAAATGTAGCATGGTTGGTTTTCTTGTTGTGCTAAAAATATATATATTTTATTATGTACCTGTAAAGAATGTTGTGATCCAGTAACAAATATCTGTGCTTATTAATCATGCTTCTAATATGGTACTACAACCGCTGTACCCTCTTCAACTTTGGTCATGACCACTATGCGATATTATAATTTCACATTCTTCTTCTTCAGAAGGCTTAATGAATTCATTATTTAAGTGATTTGGTACAATCAGTAGTCATGTTTACACCTTTTTTTTCCAAGCCTTTAAACTTTGCCTTGCTGAATATACACGGTTCAGTGAAATCAGATCTTCTTTAGCAAATATCCAATTGGTTTCTTTAGGAGTTACCTTGTTGAATTATTCATTTATGGCATTATTTTCTTTATACTTCAAATTCTATCCATTGGGTGCGTGCATGCTGTCTATAAGCAGCTTTAAAAAGTTGGTTCACACGATAACCTTGTTGAGCATGCTCTATGCTGTTTTGTATAACTGTGATGATAACTTTATTCTAACAAAGAACAGCGACTACTTTGCTTGATGTCTGGGTGAGTTGCTCTGTTAATCTGGTAGCAAAGTGGTCAGCTCACCCCTCATAAGACATTTAAATGCGTTCCTTTTATGCTTATACAAATTTGGCTGTGCCTGTGATGCAGCATCGGTGCCAGACTCGGTGAAGGCTGAACTGTTGCAGCGAATCCGATCTTTCCTGACCTCAGTTCCACTTTGATTTGCTTTGGACTGGATATATGCTGATAGGTTAAAGTAGTTCTATCAGATGAGATTGCCACTCCTGTAATCTATGAAACTTGAAGTGTATCGAACCTACAGGTTTGTTAGTTATCGTGACTCATACATGGCTTGTAACTGTTAATCTTTCAGAATATTACGGGGTCCCATTATCTATAAAATGTTACTGTGGAGTTGAAATAGGTGGAAAATGTTAATTAGCTAGAGATTAACATTACTTTTGTGTCATAATAAGTGTCATAAGTAGTAACTTACAGTAAGTAGTGGATCCTATATGAGTGTGTAAATAGATATGCTAAACTTGAGGATCGAGAAAGATAAGGGGCCAAACGAATAAAGAAACAAATTTAGTCAGTACTTTAAAATGAAAAAGGAGAGAGAGGAAATATTAAAAATATCATTGATTCTGGTCTCCGTCAGACTCACACATTGTCCGAAGCTCTAAAGAACTCAACTTATGCATGAAACAAGCAAGGTCTTTAAGATCTTTTGTTTTTGTTTCTTGTTTCTTTTCCAACTAGTTAGTCTTTCAGGTTGTCTTATCATTGAGCCTTGCACGAGGCAATATCTCTATTTTAATCAAAATTATTTAGAGAAATCAATATTAATCACTTATCTCAATAATAGAGTCATTATCAATTTATTCTAATGGACGACAACGAGTCGAAGCCATCACAATCAATTTAAACGTCATAATTATCTATGTCTCTTCATCATTATCTGGCTTTGGGTTGGGTTGGGTTGTCTGCTGTGTTCATATGCATTAAAAGTCATAATTATATCTTGGTCATTGGTTAAAGTATTTTGGTTAGTGGGTCATTGGTTGGTAAGTGGATCAACCGATCCGAACTCTATATTACGTGAAAAATATAAAATATACAAATAATATTAAAAAAAATTTATAACATAGAAAGAGGATGATAAGGAATATAATAGAGTTTCTTCATCTTTATAATATAATATAAAAAGATTAAATAGTTTGACTAAGTGTGTCGAGAATCTTGTTCTCTATTTTTTTTTTTTTTTTTGTTGGTCCGATCGAGATGTCTGATCCGAGATTTATCAATATGTTATAAGCCATCATAAATAAATATCACTTTCAGGTAGTAGTAGGTCGGAGAGACAACTTGGCATGGCGATTTAATCTGGACGCTGTTCTTAATGCATCCGAAAAGTTTGGTAAGGCTTCATCCTCAAAATGATGTTAATTAATGCCATGCAGCAGCGAGTCAGTCGCTATTATCTTTAATATTCTCATATTTTGTCATATCCTAACATTAAGGTGGACAAAAGAACAATATGCAAAAGTATGCCAACAAATATGTACTTGAAAGCATTACTAAGTTGCAGTCTTCCAAATGATACAATGATAACTAAAGGATCATTTGTGGCACTTTGTTGTCATTAACAACTTGTAGTTCTTGCAAGGAACTAAACTTCAGATTCCCTTATAAAGTTGATTGTAACTTGATGGTATAGTTTGTTAAACTAAAGCATGCTCTTCAGTTAATATATGGAAATTTAAGAGGAGTATTAATCAGAAATTCTTTGATCAAATCAGCTCACAAACTTCATGCTGAAGCCTTTAATGGACTGATAAGAGCTCATGAAAGACTGAATTGGACCCTCTTTGGCATGTATTGGTTTGAATTATTGTTGAAATAACAGTTGTTATGACATTTTGAGATTGAATGCACTCCTGCTGCATCACAACCTTCATTCCAAGAAAAAAAAAAAAAAGTCAAATTATAGTACCCAAAATAATCCCCATTAGATATGACTTGAGACTTATGATGTGAATTACTTACTCACCATCCCAAGAAAAAGAAAAACTTATAGGTCAATCAATGCTAGAGCAGAGTGACCAAGCAAAAAAAAAAGAAAAAAAAAAGATTCCTCATCATTGTAAGAATGAAAAGAGGAAGATGAGAAAGAAACTTGGTGTTTTAGTCCTACTCATTCTGTGTACATCATAACTGGATGAAAAGTCATAATCAAATCAATTCTATAAATTAAGAAATCTAGAAATGTCAAATCATAACAAGTACAAAAAAAATATATGATGATCATATCAAGGGATATAAGATCCCTTTTTAACATAATAACTTTGACAATCATCTTTTTTTTCATCAATAGTTTCAGCAAAATACAGAGTGCATCTCAATGTCTGATAGCAGGACTATAATCAAGCCAGGTTGTTAACATATGATGCCATGGAATGGGTGCCATGCCCACCCCCATAACCTTTAAATCCATTGAAACACGTTTCAGTGCCACTGCCAACTTCATCTTCTTAAACATTCCATGATCCACTCAAACAGGTGACTCTGGCCATTGCCAGCTTCATCTTGACTATATTCCCCCTATCACAAAGGATTGTAAGAGTAGATGACACAAAAGCAGCAGTATTATTAATATTTAATAATATCAATTCAAACCAGTCGACTCCCAAGGTTTCTATCAATATACAGTTTTGTCTTTCATATCAAATGAAATTATTGTCATGACTGCAAGAAATCAATCCTGAATTCCAAACCATCTGTATCAGTTGGCAAACAGTGTGTATGCTTTGATGGATTTTGGTGAAGACACACAGATGGGTAAGTAAGAAGGAAAGAGGAGAAAGAAAATACAAGAGAGAAACGATGAAATAAATTACACACAACTGTCAGAGTTGCTGCGGACTGCATGCACAGATGAGGAGGATGATGATGCCAAGTGGAGAATCTTTCTTATGTTCAGCTTTGTCAAACTTGCCACAACAAGGGACACTTGCAATCTCCTCCTCTTCCTCCTCCTCCTGCATGGGGCAGCACCCTTCCTGACACCAAGTTTGCCCAACACTGCTGCTCGAACTACAACAGAAATGGGATGACACTTCTGACCTACTATACTTATATTACAACCGGAAGATGTGTTGAACCATGGTTTGCTTCTTTGACGTTTTAAAGAACGATGTTGTCGTTCCATTGGAGAGGGTAACAGAAAAGCTTTTATTTAGAGTTTCTTTTTTTTTCTTTTAATTTTTGCGTAGATATTTAGTCATTCACATGCCAACACTCAATTCTTATTATTGCCCGATGATTGTAAATGACTAAACGTTGGCATATGACTAACAGGTGCAACTAGGGAAAATAAAAAAGAACTTGCGAGTACATGTTAGTACACCACAAGGGTGCTCACGTGAGAACTTTCGTGAGTGAGACGGATGTCAGGTCGGGATAGGTTGCGAGAGTTGCTGCCTGCTGTTGCATCGCTAGCCTCTACACTCAGGCCAAGGTCGAGAAGAGTTTTTTTCGATCTTACCCCTCTAAAACTCAAGTTAGAATTGAGTGGAATAAGAGTCAGTCGAATGTGTTCAACCCCCCGACACTGGTCGGGCAATCGACATTTATACCTGTACATGGGAGTCGATTGTATGGTGTGGGACAATTCTACATGGTGCCGTCTCGAGCTTCCTAGGGTGGCTTCGTACTCGACGATGCTATCCCGAGTTTCTCGAGATAGCTTCGTACCCGACAACATTGTCCTAAGTTTCTCAAGCCAACATATAATGGCCTCTTAAACCCCTATTGGTACTGTCAAAGGATGTGTTATTTCCCTATCAATACCCATAAATTGTATGATGTACGAAACATAATTTAATTTTGCACAATACGTTGACTTTTGCAAGTACTTTCCCACAAAAATACATGTTAGCAAGATAAATGAGATTTTAGCTTACTATATGAAATTTATAATTTGATATATATATTTTTCTAAAAAATAAAATTAAAATTAGGAATTCAATAACTAAATGACCTTTGCGTGCTTATTATAAAATATGGAAAATAAGGTGGAAGTTTTCTGAAATATGGATAAATTAATTTTTTTTTTTAAAGTTTGAAGGTTCTGTGTTTGTTTCAATGTTAAGAGAATCAAATTAAATTAGTCAATCAACCATCTTAGCTATTAAAAATTTTGATTATCGATAACAAGGTTTAGGATTACTATTTATCCTTAAAAATTATAGTTGAGGTTATAAGTCATTTCCTAATAAAAAACAATCTTTTCCTAATCCAATGATATTTCATAACACACTCCTTTTGAAGCTCGCATATGTATATATATATATATATATATATATATATAATATAATATAATATAATATAAAAGTTTGTTTTTTAAGGATTAATCCCAACTAAATTCTTGTCGACCCAAATAATATAATTTAAAAATAATAAAAACCACGGACACAGAACATATTCTTCAGCCAATAATACGAAAAGATAATAACTTAAACCTTATTATCAATCAATTTATTATTGTATGTAATCTCGCGTTTGTTGAAAGGAATATTACGTGGTTGCGAAGATGAGAAGGGTAAAATCGTAACTTACTCGATCAAATTGACAACCGCATGTTTGTGGCTCATTAAATCGCCTCCTTTTCCTCTTTCTTTCTCTCTCTCTTTCTCTGGAATAAAGCAAAGAAGCGAACGGCAGCGCAGAGCTGTCTCCGCCTCCCTCCACTCCTCTCGCCGTCTCCAAGGAAGAGGTAAGTAAGAAGAAGGCAAAAGAAGAGCTTTTAAGGGCTTCGATGGCTTCTCGAGTGGCGTTCCGGCCGGAGCCTATCCTCTGCTTCTCTCCCGCGAGGAGCAAAAGGAATGCCAGATCTTCCAGGGTCTCCATGGCCTCGACCATTCGCTCCTCCTCCGCCACCAAGTGAGATCCTTTCCTTCTCGTGATCTATCCTCGCATTGGATTGAACGCTTTGACGCTCCTTGGTGCTATTTTCCCGATCTGGTCTCTTAATTTCCTCTTGCGTGAAAGGTCTGGCTCGGGCGATTTGGATGCATCCAACTTTTTAAAATTTTCCGGGTTTAGGTCTGTGAACTCTTTTTTGATTCAGGTTACTACTTTTTCTGCTGTTTCTCATTTGTGATTGGTGGAAAGTTGGCAACTTTACTCCTTCCATGCTATCAAGATGCCATTTCCCTTATCTTTTTCTTTCCGTAGTCGACCTATCGGTGTTCCCTTTCTTTTATTGGGTATTAATTTGGGTTTATAGTTCTTAATGATTTTTCGGCACCGGTTTCGTGTTGAGTTCGTGGCCTCAATTTTGTGAAATTTAGGCGTTCTCCTGCCTTAGAAGATATTTTAGTGGTTTCCCCTTTTTGTTATTGTCAGGCGACATATTCG